GCAATGATTCCGTTAGGGTAATGAAAGTCGTCCCACATGGTAACCCTCCTCTCTCTTGTCTCCCCCACACCAGCTACAGAGCTTTTCAAAGGTAAGTGCAGGTTAATTTATTTTTCTTTAATTTTGTATTTCCTTTATTATGCTGTATTATAGTACAGTATTGTAATCATTTGTAAATGAATATTTTTGGGCTGTTGAACAAATCATCTGAATTTCCACTATTTCTGATAAGGACATTCATTTTGATACATGTGTTTTTAGGTTGCAAGCGTGTTTCTAGAATGAATTATGCTCGCAAACCAAGGTTTTCTTCTACATTGTATATTTTCATTTAAAATATATTTATATAGATATGGAAAGAAGTCTAGCTGGGTGTGGTGGTGCACACCTGTAATCCCCACACTCAGGAGGCTGAGGTAGGAGGATCATCAGTCTAGCCTGGGCTACATAGTGAGACCTGTCTCAAAAAAAAAAAGTCTAGAATGTAGTTAACTAAAATTTAATGGTGTTTCTCAGGTATAATTATAGTATTTTAAACCTTTTTTTAGCTTACCATAGCTTCTGATTTTTCTTTTTTTTTTTTCTTTTTTCTTTTTTTTTTGTCTTTTGGAGACAGGGTCTCTGTATGCAGTTCAGGCTGGCCTTGAGCTCACTTTGTATCCCAGGCTGGTCTTGAACTCACAAAGATCCTCCCGCTTCAGCCTCCCAACTGCTGGGATTACAGACATGCACCACCACACCCATCTTCTTCCTGCTTCAGCCTTCCCAGTCACTGTGAGTAAAGGCAAACACACACATACACACACCCCATACCTAGCCTGATTTTTGTTTTTTATTCTGAGTATGTATTAGATAGTTAACAGGGAAAAAAGAAAACCAGGAAGACAAAGTATAGCCTCTAAATGTCATTTCTTACTAAAAGAAAATAGGGTTCCTTAAAGAAATAGATCGTTCTTGGCTAACATGAGCAAGCAATGAAGATTTCCAAAGTGTCTGTCTGACAATTTAGGAGCCAACCTGGAAAAGATCCCACTACCCAGTCATAAGAAGTTTGCACTTCATTGAAAATAATAATAGCAAAGGATTGAAACCTCCATAGTGGTGCTAAATTCATTCATTTTTTTCTTGTAGTGCGGAGCATTGAACCAAGGGTCTTACATGTGCCAGGCAAGTATTCTGCCACTAAGAAAGCTACACTCCACAGGCCCCGATTAATGCAACGTTAGTGGTAACTGTAAAGATTTCTCTTTAAAAGAGATTTCAGTATTCATGGTTTCATTATTCTGCAAATTGATGGAGAGGAGAGGAAGGAGATTAAAAAATAAAATTAAAAAGAATTAAGATATATTGTGTACATGTACCAACTCTCCATGAGAAATGAGATCATTATGTACTAAAACATGTACTAATAAAATAAATTTGATAAAAGAACCCAGCATTTAACTTGCCTCTCTGTACAAACTCTACCTCCAGAATAATTCCTATTTGGTGAAGGGTAGTTTCTTTCTATAAAAATATTCCAGTAATAAATGAAGAAAGGATAATAATCATCATCTTTCCCAACCCTAATGAAATAACAGATTTACTTAATCATCAATGATCACTAACTTTTCAAAAAAAAAAAAAAGAGAGAGAGAAGGAGCTCAACATGATGTGCCTCTAGACAGAAGTACAGAGAGCACTACCTCTGAAATACCCTTGTCCCCAGATCAGACCCAGTCAGACCACTCCCCACGATATGCTACGTCTTTTTCCAGAGGATGCATTGACAGCACAAGGACATAATCAGCCATATGCAAAATGTGGGGAATTATACAAGGCAAGTCATACAATTTATTCCAAAAGAAAGGAGAAAAACCCATTAATGAAGGAAATGTGAGAAACATTTCAACCAAATGGAATGTGTGAGTCCTGATCCACACAAATAAGTGTAAAATAACATTCAGAAAAAAAAAATCTGGGCTATTCATGCACTCACTGAATATTTAATATTTTAAAACAGAGGTTATTTATTCATTTAAGATGAGATCTATGCTGTTCTCAAACTCTTGGGCTCAAGTGATCCTCCTGCTCCAGCCTCCCAAGTAGCAGGAACTACATATATGTGCCACCATGCCCGGCTTCAAATCACATTTTTAAGATATGATAATGTGATGGTTACATTTTTGCAGTTTGCCTATCTTCTAAAGGAACATAGTAAAATGTTTATGAATAAAATAATATGGTATCTAAGGTTTCCTTCAAAGTAAGCCAGTAGGGGAGAGAAGTAGTAGTTACAGGTGAACTTAAAATCAGATTAATCATGTGTTGATCACTGTTGACTCTAAGTTATAAGTACATAGCCCTTCTTTAGCCTAGCCTCCATACTTTGAAATTTTCCATAATAAAATAATTTAATGACACCTCCGCTCCCTTTTCCCCTTGCTCCTCCAAAAAGCCTTGGAGACGAGGTCTATTAGCTCTTCCTCTGGGGTATGGAAAGAGATTGAACAGAGTAATCATCACCTGGCAATCAGTATACAAGAAAGTCCTGTAGGATTCGGCCAGCAGTGACAGCTCTGAGCCAGAGAAACCCAGCTGAGGATTAGAGCTGGTCACGGAAAAAAAAAAAAAAAAATAGAGTCCAAGAAGAGGCTGGGCTGGGCCTAAGACCTGCACAGCTATAAGGCCTGTCTGATTAGCCTGATGACTTCTATCACCAATCATAAGTCCTTAACCATAGAACAGGAAGAAAAAGAGCTACTTTGCTCATTTAACACCGATCACACAGAAAAAGCTGTGCTGAGATGGACCGGAAAAGAGCAACCACACAATCCTGGGCCCTGTGAAGCTCATAGTATCATAGGAAGGCCAAAATCTCTAACTCAGAGAGCAATACTTCTGGTTTAAAATTAATGCGTAAGCTTGCTTGCTTTGCTACCTTCTTTCTGCCATGGACTGTTTCTCCTGCGTGATGCCTACCTGCCATGCCACCCTGCCTTGGAGCCAGCTATGATCTGCAACCTCTACAAACTGAGCTAAATAAACCTTTCCTCCTTTAAAAAATAAATAAATAATAAAATTAAATTAAACTAATGTGTAAGCATAGTACGTACAAGAAACATGGGAAATAGGAACAGCACCTAAGTTTGCCTATAGTTATGGGCAGACCTCACAGAAGAAACAGCTTTGGAATTACAACTGTTGTATTTGCCAGGACAAGAGCCAGAAGCAAGAAGTCATTTCAGGAACAAAAAACTGAATTTGGAGGACACAGCGTGAAACCACAACATGCGTTCTGGCAAAAAGTATTTGTTTGGATGCAGCATAAAGTCAGGGACTCCAGGACTTGTTCCTCCGCCTGCATATACCACTGTATTCTACTTCCTCATTCTAGGTCTGGGACAAAGGCAAGGCGTTAAGCTTGGGACCCTCTTAACCTTTTGAAATTAGCTTACTGGTGGAAAAAGCAGAAGTCCAACTTCAAGGATACCTCAGGTGTTATAGGCCAGACAGCATCTCAAGCACAGATAGGGGAGAAAAACAGAGGAGAGGGCTTAATGCCCAACATAGAGCAGATAGTGTGAGCAGGAACAACCTATTTCTCATAATGACAGACCCTTGTGTAAAGAAGGAAGATGAGTCAGAAATCCATGCTTTAAACTTTTCTGGCAACAGTAGTGCTTTGTGTAGTAAAAACAGATGATCAAAATATAATTTCACGAATCACACAGTTTACTATCAAAGAGACGTTTTACATTTTTTTATTTTTATGAGTACAGTACACATTTGCAGTACATAATGATTATATTCATTGCGGGGAGTAAGTACCTAATACACATCTTAATTCTTTTTACATCCTTCCCCTCCTCAAGGACAACTTTTTTCCTTAGGTTCAGAATGCTTCAAAGAGAGGGAGAACATAACAAATCTCCCAGGAAATAACACACTTGCCAGTCCAGGTACATTAACCACTGAGTGGATGACTTCCTAAGTTAGTAGTCCAGCTGCTCTATCAGAATAGAAGCAGGCCTTTAAGTGACGTCTAATTTTAGATTAAGGCTGGCTCTTTGTACAGTGGTTCTCAGGAGAAAGTGGTTTGACCAATTCGCAGGGATCAAGTGGGCCACGCTCCAAGCTAGACGGAATGCCAGCGGGAAACTAGTTTAAGGCAGGTGTGTGCCTGAGGGTGTATTCAGAGGTGGCTGAGTGTGGCCGGCCCGAGCTAAGCGCTCAGTGTTCTGGTCAAGCTCGGGCTTGCAGGATCTTGGTGTCCAGCAGCGCACATATGGGGCCTAAGGTATGACCTCCTTCTTCAGAGGAAGGGAAGCTCACTTCCAGCTCGCGCGTATGTGGGTTTTGTAAGACTTCTCATTTTCAAAAAAGAAGAGGAAATACACTTTTTTTCTTTTTTGTGGTATAGGACCGGAGCCCAGGGCCCGCACACACTAGACTAATGGAGCGCTGCAAGACACCCCAGACCTTTTTCTAATTTTTATTTTGAGACGGGTCTCGCTAAGTTGCCTGGGCTGGCCTCTAACTCGTGATCCTACTCCAGTAGATGGGATCGAAAGGCGTGCACAGAGGGCTGGGCCATGGTCTCCCTCCAAAATGGTTTCCAGCGCTGCAAACGAGGCAGTCCCTTGCCCCGCGCCTCAAAGTCAGCTCGCCCCAAACTTCCGGCCCGCCCGCCAACCCCTCTCCCCGTGCAAACTCACAATTTCTTCGACCGTTCCTTCCCCACATCGGGGTCGCTCGATGTCCTGTTACCCCTGCCCGGCTCCTGCCTTGGAGGCCCGCGCAAGGGCTACGCCGCGGTAGGAGAAAACCCCTCCCTACTTTTGCGCTCTCCACACACTTCGTGGAAACCCCAGGGCACGTGCCGTCTCGCGTCTGCGCCTGCGCCTGCGCACTGGCCGCGCGGGCAGGGTAGGGTAAGGCCAGCGCTGGCCCCGCCCTCACGTCGCCACGCCCCCGCGCCGCTACGCCTTGCCAGGTGCGCGTGCGCCGTGGCTCCGCCCCCTACTGGCCTCTCTCCTCAGCGTTGGCCGCCCGCGGCGTTCCGTTTCGCGCCGCTGCCCGCCGCCTCCCACGCGTGTCTGCCGCCTCCTCGCGGCCATGGCGTG